ACCAACAAAAATCAGAACCTGATATTTTATAATGTTTATTTAATATAGAGAATTGCTATTTCCACCCCATTTTTGCTAATGCCACCCCAAAATTTAAAAAAAAAAATACAAGGGTGAAAAAAAAACTTACAGCTATAGCACGTCTAGCAATCTCACTTCTTAAATGGTCATTAGGGAAACTTTTATTATTTATATCTGGGATTCTAGCTTTACTACTTGATGGTGAACCGTTTTGATGATCGTTATTAATAAATTGGTGGTTGAACATTGGCTATTTTTAATGTGAAAAGCATAGCAGAACTTTTGAATTAGTTCTGCAGTTAAAATTTGTATGCAATACAAGTGATACTTACCATATTCTTTAAAAAACAAGAAAAAAAAAAGTTAGTTTGAATGTAAAAAACTAGTAAAATTTAAATAAACAATCTTATTCTATCGTATTATGCTGTGAAACCTTGTTTAATCTTAAAAAAAAAAACAAAAATATTTATTATAAGAACCCTTCATACCATGAAGAATTGTGATTATAGATGGGTGTAAAAAAAACGATAATTAACTTTAATCTCAGAGAAATAGTGCACGCGAATGAGTGACAATTCTATGAAATGCCGAGTTAAAATACAATGGAAGATCTTTATACGTATCATTAAAAATCTCAAATGCTTATTATTTTGTTTGTGTAGCTTATTTCCTTTTTGGATTTCAAATATAAACTGATATAAACATAGTACTGTATATACTATATAGTTTTTTTTTATAAAATAATACCGGGAATAATAACGATAATACTAAATTTTTAATACTATTTTACGTATTGTAAAATAATAAAATAATACATACCAAGCTTTTATCTACTGTAAGTACTGAGTACGAAAGTACTTATGTATGCAAGAATGAGAATTATTTTTCAGGTACTATGTACATACTGTACATAGGTGCACACTTGTTGTGCGTACGGATGTACATAAGTACCGGTATTTTAGGAAAAATGTGTCTTGTTACTATATTAAAAACCTTCGAGATGCTTCCTTTTTTTTTTTTTTTATTTATTATAAAATAAAAATACATTCGGTAATTGGCAAAGCCCCAAACTATAAATGCGGTAGAATGTGACAAAATGATGATAGTCACTAAATTTAATCAATTTAATCTTTATTTATTACGTACGTACAAAATTACGTATGCACTGTTACGTACGTACGTATACTTATTATTTATTTAATCATTTGTATTAAATTTAATAAGGATGAAGCATATATCTCAGGCTGGTGATACCGATGCCACTTGGATTATTATTATTTTTTTTTTCCTGAACTTTACAGCCACACAACTATGAATAGTAACGAAACTCCGATCTTCATTACTGTATTCTTGTATAAACATGCTACGTATATCGATTATAGCTTTATATTAATACTAAAATTAGCCTATGTATCACTGAGGTAATTGTCATATATTTATTCGTACTTAAATATACAGATGAAGAAAGAAAAAAAAAATTAATATAGAAATTTTTACTTAAAGAAAATTCTTTCAAGAATTATATATCAATATTTCGCTGTATATTTAATTTTTTAAACACAATTATTATAAAATTATTGGCAAAATTTTAGAAATTCCAAGAATCATATCTGCACTACATTTTTCACTACATTTTATGGAAATCCTAATGTGTGCCGAACTAAGACCAAAAAAAAAAATTAATGTGGCTGAAGTGCATAAAAGATCTGAAATGAAACAGAACGAAACATATTCATAAATGGCGTGATAGATAATTGTTATTTAAATAACAAAGATAACAATGTAGAGATGACTAAGACACAATTCATTAGTAACTTTAGTGACAACTAACATAAAAAACATTTTACAAAATTGCAA